TTTGGTGTGTGTGTGTGTGTGTGTGTGTTTATTTTTAATTGAAATAATAGCTAGTCAGTAAAAATGTATAAGGCTTGTTTTTTTTCATTTTCATTTTATTATTATTATATTTGTTGTCTTCTTTGTGATTTATATTGCTTGAAATGTCTTCTGCTTTCATTTGTATAATAAGGTATTAATATAATAGTACGTTTTCAATTAACATTACTTAACCGATTTAAAATATCGCGCCTTCACATTTTATTTATATCGAGTCAACTTATGCGTGACAATTAACACGACACACAACATGAAGAGGTGTGTCGGGAGAAATACGTGAAATAGCTGTTAACATATCACAGGTAAACTAGTCTTGCGCATACTCATCTGTACTGTTTTGTTATTACTGTTTTAAATTTCTTATAATCGGTGACAAACGCAAATGTTCATTTGATACACATTGTGAAAGAAAAATGCGAGATAGTGTAAAAAGATGTGACGTAACCAACTTCCGTGTTGAACAAATCTCGTTTCCACAATAAATATTAGAGAATTTATAAGACGTGGTAAATAATTCGTAACCGATAGTCAACAGCATTTTATGTTTTGATAATAAATCATGGGAATTACATACCGAGGTTTCATTTTTAATATCTTTCCCCTATGTTGGAAAAGACCTTATTGTTTTTCTAATGGGTTTTTTTTTCCAACATTTATTTTGACATGGCCTCCCCCGTTTCTACTGAAGTTATCATGACCAAATATGGGTCATCGGTAGACCTCATCATGAAATATTACCAAATGAGGCTGTGTAGGATTTCATCATCCACTTTTGAGTTATATCCCCTTGAAACAATTATTTTCTTTTATTTGAATATAGCTTAAAAATTGTTACAGATAGAATCGATCTGAAAATGGCAACATGTACAGGAACAGATGGCTATGTTAATAAACATAGACAATTATTTTGTTATCAACCCTTATCAGAGTAATTTTCCTTGAAATATTATACACAATTTTTGAAAAATTGTATTTCGATAACCGGAAGGCGTATATACATTAGACCTTCACCAATAATCTTTAGTTCATGTGAACTTTCATTTGCAACCATAGTCAAAGGTCATAGAGTGCAAAAAATTTTACGCTAAAATGTCAAGCTTCAATATTAAGAAAACGAGAAGAGATAAAAAGTAAAATAACAAAAATACCGAACTCCAAGGAAAATACAAAACGGAAAATGGCACAATCAAAATCTCAAACACATCAAATGAATGGAAAACAACTGTCATATTCCTGACTTTGTACAGGCATTTTGTTATGTTGAAAACGGTGGATTAAACCTGGTTTTATAGCTAGCTAAACCTCTCACTTGTATGACAGTCACATTAAATTCCATTATATTGACAACAATGTGTGAACAAAACAAACAAACATAATAGGTAAAAATGTCAAAGATAGGGAAACAGCAATCAACATTGTGTTATAATCTTAATCACTATAAAAACAAACAAATATGTCAACAAAGAAAAACAAAATGGCATATATACAAAGTATATAAGCAAAAATGAAAGTCAAGAATACAAAACATGACCATAGCACAATAACACAATGATGGGATGTATAATTACGGAGCCACGCCAAGAGGATATTACCGAAAATGAACTAAACTGTAAAGGTTAATAATCTACAAAGACAAATAAAAGAACACTATAACACGTAATTAAGATGATAAACAACGTCAGTACCTAGAATCTATACTTCAAGACCATCATGTATTATTTGTGAAGTTGATACGGAATATTTATCAATAAGGTCTTGGTATCTTCCGATGAACTTTTTTTTTAGAAAAAGGACGAGACGTAGTTTGACATAACCCTGGTTCATCAAATTTCTCCTCAGACTGTGGTAACGTTTTATAAATTCTTGAGTAGCAGCTGCAAGCTCTTGAATACCGAATGAGGTTGGAAATCCCATATGCAGGTGAAGTTGGTATATTGCTACTATGGTGGGGAAAATTGATAATTTAAAAATTAAAATCGTCTCGTTCGTCATAGATTCTGGTACTCGGTTGGCCATTTATGTCAAATTCGAGGTATAAGTCTAAAAATGAGGCGGAAGAAGCCGTGAATGTTGTTTCCTTAATTACTAGTTCTGGAGGATATATTAATGGAACCCAATCAGAAAAGTTTAGATTGTTAATGGAAAGCACATCATCAATATATCTGAATGTGAAATTAAACGATCTGGCTTCTTTGATCTTCTTGTTTTTGACAAATGTCTGAAGGAACTCCGACTCATATAAAAATAAGAAGAGGTCTGCAAGGATAGGCGCACAGTTGGCTCCTATAGGAATGCCGACAATTTGTTGAAAAAGTCTACCTCCAAATTCAACATAAATATATTGTTAATAAGAAACTCCAGCATACTGATCACTTGTTCCTCTGTGTAGCATGTTTTACCTTTTTGTTCACTATTAAGAAAACTGATTATACACAGCGTATAAAGTGTTCCTCTCTGAGAGCTCTATATTTTATACATTAGACCCAAAACTGTCCGACCATCCTTTCAAAAGTTACGTCGAGATAATTCTTTAAAGAATAATTTGTTGTTTATATCTTTGAAATGGTAACAGATATCAACCTACTATAAACTGCAAAAATGATCAGTATTTTAGGATTAAGAGATTTCAAATTGAGGTCAAGGTAAGGGTCATGAGGAAATGTCATCCTGACCTTCAAAAGATACTTAAACCTTGACCGCGTGACCTTTTGAAAGGTTAATTGATCCTAAGTTGAATAGTAGTAGTCCCATGTCTTAACGCCTTCTGGTTCTCAAGTTCGGTATTACATCATATAATTAATTATTCAGTGTGCCCGTAATGAGCTTTTGAATTGCCACAATTTTTTTATTGTACTTCATTCAGATAAGTTTACATTAAGCATATTTGAAATATCTGTTGTCGTTTTAGAGATATTACAATTTGAAATTTTGTGAGGGGGCATATATTTCTGATTCAAAAACAGCTGGCATTCTGAAATTTTTAGAAATTGAAGAATTTAACAGGTTATATGTTTGACTAAATACCAAAAACCTTTGATTAAAAAAAAGAAAAATATGCAGTTTGAAAGTTTTATGTTTTACATTGACTTTGTAAGTTTCATTAGTTCTATTTATAACATTGATATTGCATATTTTTTTGGACTTTGCCAAATGGGGTCATGTGACATTAGAAATTGAACATCCAAATGAGCCCTATTCAAATATTAAAATTTTAAATCCCCTTTTCTATACGAAAGAGAAGGGTTGGGTCATTAAGTGCAAAAATTAAATCTTCTAAGATGGTAAGAACTACTAGGGGGTGTTTAACGACTTTTACTACAAATGAAGGTCCCGCACGGTCGATTGATGGTAAGGTTGTCGCATATCAAATGAAAGTCCATAAAATGAACATTTCAAGCATCAAATTTATGTCCCCAAAAATGGGTTGGGTGGGGTCATAGAGTGCAAAAATAAATTGTCTTCGAAGGTAAGGTCGTCGCATATCAAAATTAATGAAAGGTAATAATGTGTACATTTCAAATATCAAATTCCTGTCCCCCAAACATGAGTTGAATGGGCTATAAAGTGCAAAAAATATAAATTCCTAAGATGATGTTGTCGCATATCAAACAAAAGGTGACATTATCAAAAAACACCCAGCTACTATAAAATAATTGATTCTTCCAATCAGTTTGTCTAAAAATGAATTAAACGATCTGATAAATGGCTCGGAGCACAAACCTGTAACGTTGTTTTTCTAAAATGAAGGACTAAAATGAAGGGACTATACATGGAATTTTTTATCTTTAAAGGTGGAGAATTATCAGTAAGATATGAAGTCTTAACATATGCAGATAGAAATATATTTTCGGATACACAAATAAAATTATAAGGTCTCAGGTTCCTGTGTCTCATGTGCGGTTTAAGACAGAGGTGCCCCTCCTCCCAAAAAAAAAAACAGGTTATATGTTTGACTAAATACCAAAAACCTTTGATTAAAAAAAAGAAAAATATGCAGTTTGAAAGTTTTATGTTTTACATTGACTTTGTAAGTTTCATAAGTTCTATTTATAACATTGATATAATTGCATTTTTTTTTTGGACTTTGCCAATTGGGTCATGTGACATTAGAAATTGAACATCCAAATGAGCCCTATTCAAATATTAAAATTTTAAATCCCCTTTTCTATACGAAAGAGAAGGGTTGGGTCATTAAGTGCAAAAATTAAATCTTCTTAGATGGTAAGAACTACTAGGGGGTGTTTAACGACTTTTACTACAAATGAAGGTCCCGCACGGTCGATTGATGGTAAGGTTGTCGCATATCAAATGAAAGTCCATAAAATGAACATTTCAAGCATCAAATTTATGTCCCCAAAAATGGGTTGGGTGGGGTCATAGAGTGCAAAAATAAATTGTCTTCGAAGGTAAGGTCGTCGCATATCAAAATTAATGAAAGGTAATAATGTGTACATTTCAAATATCAAATTCCTGTCCACCCAAACATGAGTTGGATGGGCTATAAAGTGCAAAAAATATAAATTCCTAAGATGGTGTTGTCGCATATCAAACAAAAGATGACATTATCAAAAAACACCCAGCTACTATAAAATAATTGATTCTTCCAATCAGTTTGTCTAAAAATGAATTAAACGATCTGATAAATGGCTCGGAGCACAAAACCTGTAACGTTGTTTTTCTAAAATGAAGGGACTATACATGGAAATTTTTATCTTTAAAGGGGGAGAATTATCAGTAAGATATGAAAAGTCTTAACATATGCAGATAGAAATATATTTTCGGATACACACATAAAATTATAAGGTCTCAGGTTCCTGTGTCTCATGTGCGGTTTAAGACAGAGGTGCCCCTCCTCCCAAAAAAAACGTAACAAAGGTAATATTATTGTCAATTTTGAGTCAAAATAAGATCGTCTTATTCTTAATGATAAGAAATTGAAATATGTTTATCAATTCTTTCAGATAGTCCAAATGGCCTCAGGAACACTTGTACCCTGTGGTCCGTGTAGGTATGATGACGTCACAAAGGACGCGAAAAGATGGTGTACGAACTGTGAAGAAGGATTATGTGAAGATTGCGAAAACGCTCACAGGAAAAGCAAAATATCAAGAAACCATCAAGCGATTTCAATAGAAGATTATCGTAAGATTGAAAATGTTTCGATCTCACAGGTCTGTGAGCACCACGGAGAAAACCTGGAGTGGTTCTGTAAAACGCACGACGAAGTCCTCTGTATGGTATGTGTCCCATCAAAACACAAGGCATGTTCTGGCGTTATATCAATAAGTGTTGCTTCAACAAATGCAAGACAATCAACTGCATTATCTGACCTAGAAGAGGCGATTGAGGGAACTCTGCGCAATGTGAAACAATGCATAATGAATCGCGAATCAGCCTCAAAGGACATTGACAAACAAGAATTGGCGATCAAAACTACGATAATTGAAACGAGATCAAAATTAAACGGCCACCTAGACAAGATGCAGGAAAAGTTGCTACGCGACCTTAGATCAACATCTCATACTTGTAAATCAAAATATTCGAAATTGTTTCGGAAGCTAGAATCCAAAAAAGAAATGCTTACCAAACTAAAGGAGCAAACACAACACATGAAACAATTTTCTTCAGACAAACACGTGTTTCTGGGAACGCGTCAAGTTAATCAGCGAATTGTAAGAGAGGTAAGATCTATCAAAAGAGTATTTGGTGCTACCAAGGATTATGAATTAAAAGTAGCTATTCATAGCCTAATCGACAAATTAGCAAACGAAGTTGAGGATTTTGGGCAAATAAATGTCTCGGAATGCGCCCGCAAGTTAGCCTTCAGAGATCCAAAAAGCGACCAAGCTCAAATCTTGATCAATGTTCCAACATCAAGAAACATATCCGACGTGAAACTTCAGCTAATCAAAACTTTTCAAATTCAGAGGAACGCTGAAATAGTTATTTCAGGTTGTGCCACGTTGCCTAATGGTCATTTATTGATCGCAAATACCACAAATGAAAATCAGTTAATAGAGTACAGCGATACAGGTGAACATATCCGTGACATTCCAGTCTCTGGGAGGCCGTTTGATATCACAGTGATAGATCCGCAGCGTATTGTTGTGACATACCCGGACATGAGAATCTTAGAAATATTGAATAGCAATAATTTCAATATTGAAAATAAAATTAGTTTACATAATATTTGTTTTGGAATATCAATAGAGGATGGGAGACTTTACGTAATAAATGGAGACTCTACAATACAAGTCCTGGATCTGTCAGGAAGGCAACTGGAAACTTTAAAAGTAGAATCTAATAATTCACTTTACATAACAACTAGCAGCGACAGGCTATTTTTCACAGATTCTGCAAATAGCAGTGTACATTGTTGTAGTTTGAAAGGAGAAGCGTTATGGCATTTCAAAAGTGAGTCCATTGCATATCCTTACGGTGTAGCAGTAGATAATTACAATAATGTTTACGTTGTAGGTTATTTCTCTCGTAATCTAACAATAATACAACAGGATGGGAAAGACAGTAAGTCATCACTGACTAAATCCGATGGACTTGATCGGCCGAGAGCTGTGTACTATGACAAAGAGAAAAGAACATTACTTATATGTGATTACAACGGAAAGGTTGCGTTGTACAAAGTAGTTTAAAACTTTTCAATCACTTTGATTCCGACGTGCTAGAAAATTCAGATTTGCATACCACAATAATTTCTAATACAATAGATTAGTTATACATTTTGTTTATATTTGAAGGATTTTTACAATTGTTCCTATTCTTCCTAAGGCATCAGCCTCACCAAAGAAGATGTAACTGTGTTTTCCATCAATCTTTACAAACTGAAATAAAGTTCCTATTAGTCATCTTGTCTTTGTTAATATGAACAAAAGAACTGTGAAAAAGTTAGGTTATATCTTTAGAGCAGTTCAGTTAAACAAGGGTAGATCTCATTAATGTCTACAAAATTTTCGTATGTACACGACTTTAAAGTTTCATATATACATTGATATAAAGTGAATTTCGTAGATTCTGCCTATGTTAATGTTATCTCTTCTCATACAATTATATTATTACAGATTGTATAAGATGGTTCGGTTGGTTCGGTAGAAAACATAAAAAAAGGATCAAAGTTTAAAGTGTCTGCCAAGTCGTTTAAAACAAAATGAAGTACAAACGGACAGCGGTTCAACATAATACGTTCTGTCGAGCAAGGGTTTTATAAAAGGGTACATGACAGAAACACGCAAAACATGATTATGAAATATAATTTTAAAAAAGACCTGCAAATACAATGAGATGATGGGTATAGGTAAATATGACAGCAACCCAACGACACTAAACAATCGGGTGCTCATTAATTGAACAGGGACTATCAAGGATCTGCAATCAAAACTCAAAACTTAATTTTCAAAATCACAAAAAAAATAAAAAAAATACAAAGATAAAGACAAACCAATTCTCAACACAAATATTTTTCATTAAGAACAATATCGTGTATAACAAAATATATTTTTTCTGTTATCAATTATCCAGCTTATAAAATGTTAAAAAAATCAATTGGAAGATAATGCGTTAGATTCCGTTTCTATGATCACCTCATTAAAAATAATTACGACTTGTAGTAAAATAGAAACAACAGACTCATTTTGTGTTAAGTAATTATGTGTATTTTTTTTTTTATTTCCTATTCATATAATCAGTTGGTAAATAGATTTCATATTGGAGATACTCGATGTTTATGAAAATAACGAGAAGTGGTATGATTGCCAATGAGACAACTATCCACCCAAGTTCAAATGAAGTGGATGTAAGCAATCATAGGCAACAGTACGGCCTTCAACAATGAGAAAAATCCATATCGTATAGTCGGCTATAAATGGCCCCGACATAAAAATATGAAACAATTTAATTGAGAAAACTAACGGCCTAATTCATCACAAAACAATTTACGAAAAACAAATATGACAGACATGAACCAACGACAACCACTGAACTACAGGCTCCTGACTTTGGACAGGCACATAAGAATGTGGCAGGGTAAACATGTTTGTGAACGCTCCCCCTCCCCCTTACCTAGGACAGTGCTGTTACAGCACAACGTAAGAACAAACTATAAAAATCAGCAGATTACTGTGGATTCATTATTATTCGTTGGATACCAATTTTTATAGATGACGTGGGTACAGGTGAACCACGATTTCAAATGTTCACGAACTTTTCATTCGGCTTTTTTGCAGACCTTGGCAAAACCACGAAATAAAATATCCACGAAAATGTAAGTTTTCCTCAATCAACGAAAATTGGTACCTACGAAAATAAATGAATCCACAGTATTTGGCAATTCATTTAAAATTATTCAGATAAACAAATTTAACTTATATCATTCAATTTCAAACATAATGATAAATCGGTCGCTTTTGTAATGTTTTATTTTTAAGTTTACATTTCGAACTCATCTATACCCCTTTTCATAATTCCCAATCTTGATTGATTGATTGATGCATGCCTACCATTCATTGGCAAATATGTCTACATTATGTTTACTACGATACTACTGTGTGTTCAAAGATCGACAACCCATAGTACTATCAATGATAATTATGATCTCCCGTTTTAGAAGGAGATGTTTTGACAAGTCTCCTTGTGCCTTTTGGATTTAATTCTTCCAATGAGTTGATAATTAATTTTTTGGTTCCATGCCTTGATGCATGACCTCTTTATGAGAGTGTGTGCCTACCATTTTTACAAAATGTTTAATACTTCATTACTGATTTAAAATGTTCTTGCCCTCATCCATCCAATTTTACAATAGCTGTCATAGTATTTTATAAGTGCTGTCCCTCCAGAATGAGTAGAGAAGAAGCACGTATAAAATACAGTAGTTGCAATATTTATGAATTAGAGCAAGAACACATACCATTATTAAAAAGCAGTTGAAATATGAAAGAAGCACGGAGTTAATGTCTCAATAGCCTATCGGTAACTGCAATCATTCGACAAAGAAGCGAACGTCCTGAAAATGCATGAAATATTTGCCAATGGAAGTTAAGTAAACACCAATCAATCAATTGGTGTGGTGTACAAATAATGAGTGTTTGCACTTGTGTTTAAGTTATCTATTATACTATTATTATACAACTAAGTGATTTTCATTCCTGTAACATGTGTAATGGTTTTCAGTTTATTATTCTTACATAGCTTTTCAAGATCAGACAGATTTAGTATAAAAGGAAACATTGTCAATGCACTACTGTTACTATATTATGTTATATCTTGTTAAGATTTTTTAATTTTTAATTTTTGTTATTTAGAGAAATCAGTGATGATGGTAGGTCTTTAATAGTTACTGTTAATGTTATTCGTAAAGGTTTTTCTACTCCGGGTAATTAAGGATGTACACCTCTGAGGAGCCAAAAATTTCTAGAATTAAACTTTTTTTCTTAACCTGATTTTTGGGTTTATATGACTGTAAAAAGATAATTGGTGAAGTAAAAATCATATGGTGGTGCACTTCTTTTTTTGCTATGGCCCTTTGAAAGTACCCAATTTTGATGATTTTCCCATTTTTCATCAATTTTTACCCATTTTTGGGCTAGTATCGTGAAAAAAATCACAGTACCACAATTAAACTTTTTTCATATTTTCAATAAAGATGAAGTGGACCAATCTGAATAAAATTCAACTTAATAAAAACTATAGGTAGGTGTTAATATAAGAAAGTTTTATTATATTTTGATGCTTTTTCATGTCAAATTTACCATGCTGTCAATTTTGTAAATTTGTGATTTTTCTCTATTTTAAGAACAAAATGCATATTATTTCAACCTCTTTGTTATAAATGATTGAAAAAAACATATCTAAGAAATTTCAAAAGAAAAAAGTGATATGGGATGTACATGTTTCTGGTAAAATCATTTCTTGTACCCCTCACCCATTTTATCAAAATTTTGGCTAAAAAGACTGACTTGATTGGTAATAAAATTTGTTACTCAAAAACTACTTTTTGTAAATACACAATTTTTTTCGCAGAGTTGAGTTTGATTATAACATTTCTTAAATTATTTGATATTTTCCACTTGCATCACATGTTTTGGAAACAATTCCAGAACGATATTCTGGAAAGAAGTGTCGCACAACTTGAAATCGGACTCAGTCAGATATGTATGTTGTTTGTATTACGTCAAGTGACTAAAATTTCATGCACGTTTTCAGGAGAGCAAATTAAAATTTAATACAATACATTCTGCAAGGTATGGATCGACCGGGATGATCAAGTGCAGTAAACTTGGACTGCCTCTGAAAATGACGTAGTCTTGCAACATGCCACCTACAGACCACTCAGAGATTGTTACAATGGTGTTTTAACATGTAGAGGGCGTGGCACTATCTCTACAATAGTTCTGTATCTGGCTTTTCATACGTTTTGGTCTTGAGAATATCAGATGAAAATTTGTTATTAAACCCGTGAGAAGAACATAATATTTGTTAATTGTAAACCTAGCTTAGTGAAAACCATACGTATCTCTTTTGAGTAATTACTCTTTAAGCTATTATCTTATTCTGGAAACAAGTGTAGCACGCATTGAAATCGAACACAGACGTTGTTTGCTATATATATGCTTTACGTCCGGTGGTAAATATGTCATACAATAAGTAGGTTTTGCAAGTGGGGATCCACCGATGGGATGAAGGCAATTAACTTGGACTACTATTGAAAAATCGACAATGCATAACACCAAAGTAACAATACTTGTTAAAAACTGTGAGAGGAACAAATCTGGCAAGTGTCAACTTGGCTAATTAAAAAAAAACTTATCTCCTTCGGATAATCACCTTTTAAGCTATTAACTATATATGTTCTTAAGCTTCTGCATCTGACATATACTTTACAATCAACAGAAATCGATAGTAATACCGTTGTAAGTAAATTTCAAATGTTGTTACTAAATTGACAACTTATAAGTGAAGGCTTCATCACAATAGTTTATATATTTAAAACTCTTGATTGTATTGACTTATTTCGATTTCCAACGATTTGGGTAACAGTTAGCGACTTTTAATTGTTGGCAAGCAGAACTGAAACAAAATAATGTTAATAGTATATAGTTGTCATGCCAAGAAATTGCCTCCGTTGAAATTTTGCAAACATCCCATAGAGCAAATTACACGGATGATTAATATTGACCATTTGGTAAACATGGCTGCGTTCTAAGCGACACATATATGCAGGTCATAAATAAATTGTTGAATGAAATCAAATCTTTAACTACTAATGGGTGCCGTAGGAGGTTGACCGGAATTTCTTGGCATTAGATTGGTAAGCTTAAATCGAGGGTTCAAAATGCTGAACGCCAAAAAAAAAAAAAGGGGGGGGGGGGGGTTCGCAGGAAATAATTTTATTTATGAGCTCGATCTACATTTGAAAGGTTTATTTTTTTTTTAATTTAATTAAAAGAGAGAAAAAAATGTTAAACAAATTGTGAATGGTCTTTCTTCCTTTCTCTCATGCCAAGAATGAAATCAAATCTTTAACTACTAATGGGTGCCGCGTAGGAGGTCGACCGGAATTTTTAGCGAGGATTTCTTGGCATGCTTACAAAACTGGGACAGCAGACATTCATTTGATATATTTTATTCTTATTTCATTTACCATTTTAAGGAGGGCTCTGAATTAAAAAAAAAAATCCGTGATGTTATACCCGTGATCGGTTCTTAATATTAGAATACATATCTTTAAGAATTATTTCCCTTTGTTGATGCAAACTAACATCAATTATAAATCAGTAACTAAGGCGTTTATCTGGGTATGTATATTCAACTTCAGTTGTTAACTAGTAAAACACAATGTACAGAATCAAAATGGTCATATGCGATAAGAATTGAGAATAGAAATGGGGAATGTGTCAACGAGACAACAACCCGACCAAGGGCAAAGTCAAAGAGCAGAAAACAGCCCAAGGCCACCAATGGGTCTTCAATTCAGCGAGAAAATCCCGCACCAGGAGTCGGTCTTCAGCTAGTTTTTTTTTTTTTTTATAGAGGAAGCCGAAAGCGAGATTATGGGAACCGAAGGCGAGATTATTTGGTCACTTTAGTACGGCCCACATGAATCCGGGTCCGTTCGCGCCCAATCATGTTCGCCCCCATGCACGTTCGCCCCCTTTCACTTTCGCACCCTACACGTTCGCACCCAAAGTCCGTTCGCACCCTACACGTTCGTGCCCAATTTTTATTGGTTTTGTGTTTAATAATTTGTAAACGAGTTTTGGTAAGTGTATTGCTATAAATATATATTTTTTCATTGTTTCTAAATAAAGTGAGATTCTGACAAGGTTTTTTTTGTGTAAATGGTAAATGTATTGCTATTAACATTTTTTTTTCATTGTTTTTAAATTAAGTGAGATTCTGACGACCAGTATTTTAGTTTTGTGTTGAATAATTTTTGATGTTTAGGTAAGTGTATTGCTCTATATATATCTATATATATACAAGTCTAAATTGAAAACAACGTTCAAACCTATGATTGCATTGGATAAAAACCGCAATTTTTATACGTGTGCATGTAAAACAAATATATATATATATATATAAATTTTTTTTTTTCATTGTTTCTAAATAAAGTGAGATTCTGACAACGTTTTTTTAGGTGTTGATAAAATCTTAATCATGTTTTGGTTAGTGTATTGCTATAAATATTTCTTTTTTATTGTTTCAAAAGGAAATGGGATTCTGACAACGTTTTTTTTTTATATGTTGAATAATTCGTAATCATGTTTTGGATAGTGTATTGCTATAAATATTTTTTTTCATTGTTTATGAATAAAGTGAGATTCTGACACACATGAGATCAAAGGAGCCAAGCTGTTAAAAACAATTATCTTTCATGTTTTTTATTTAAAATCTTCAAAGTTTTACTCATACCAAGCTAAATACATGCAGTATTTACATTTAAAGCAAGTTAAAACAACCATGACAACAATCATGATTTTTAAACACCCAACAATAACATCATATTAGGCTGTGTATAAATACCAATTAGCAGTAATCATACATAATTAACATTTAATAATTAAGTCTCCCAAACGAAGTTTGGGAAGACTTATTGTTTTTGCTCAGTTCTTATTATTATTATTATTCTTCTTCCTCTTCCTCTTCCTCTTCCGCCGCTTTTAAATTTGAACTTGTCCGCACCTGTTCTCCAAAACCGCTTGTCAGATTAACTTAGGATTTCACAATATGTTAGACTAACATGTCTAGTGGTGCAATCAGGGTTTTGTTTGTGCAGTGGTGTTTATAAAGGGGTACTTTGAGGGGCAAAAACAAAAGAGGGTTTTACTATAGAACCCTATGGGATTTTATTTTTTTAAATTTTCAAATGATTATAAATTGAAAACCGTTTGTGATAGACACAATCTTTTTAATTGAAAATGTTCTAAATGATAAAACCCATTAAATGAAATACAGGGTTAGTCCCCAGGGGTCACCCCCACCCCCTGCCATTTAAGAATGTTCTAATACCTTGTAAGTGGTCAAGATCCCCACCCCTAAACCATATATATTCTGGTTTGTCATGCTAAGATGGTTTGAATGATATACAGGGTTAGTCCCCAGGGGTCATCCCGACCCCCTGCCATTTGAAAAAGTTCTAATATCTTGTAAATGGTCGAGATCCCCACCCCTAAACCATATATATTCTGGTTTGTCATGATAAAGCACATGAAATGAAATACAGGGTTAGTCCCCAGGGGTCACCCCCACCCCATGCCATTCAAGAAAGTTCTAATATATTGTAAGTGGTCAAGATCCCCACCCCTAAACCATATATATTCTTGTTTGTCATGCTAAGATGGTTAAAATGATATACAAAGTTAGTCCCCAGGGGTCATCCCGACCCCCTGCCATTTGAGAAAGTTCTAATATCTTGTAAATGGTCGAGATCCCCACCCCTAAACCATATATATTCTTGTTTGTCATGATAAAGCAAATCAAATGAAATACAGGGTTAGTCCCCAGGGGTCACCCCCACCCTATGCCATTTAAGAAAGTTCTAATATCTTGTAAGTGGTCAAGATCCCCACCCCTAAACCATATATATTCTTGTTTGTCATGCTAAGATGGTTTGAATGATATACAGGGTTAGTCCCCAGGGGTCATCCCGACCCCCTGCCATTTGAAAAAGTTCTTATATCTTGTAAATGGTCGAGATCCCCACCCCTAAACCATATATATTCTTTTTTGTCATGATAAAGCAAATCAAATGAAATACAGGGTTAGTCCCCAGGGGTCACCCCCACCCTATGCCATTTAAGAAAGTTCTAATATCTTGTAAGTGGTCAAGATCCCCACCCCTAAACCATATATATTCTTGTTTGTCATGCTAAGATGGTTTGAATGATATACAGGGTTAGTCCCCAGGGGTCATCCCGATCCCCGGCCATTTGAGAAAGTTCTAATATCTTGTAAATGGTCGAGATCCCCACCCCTAAACCATATATATTCTGGTTTGTCATGCTAAGATGGTTTGAATGATATACAGGGTTAGTCCCCAGGGGTCATCCCCACCCCCTGCCATTTGAGAAAGTTCTAATATCTTGTAAATGGTCGAGATCCCCAACCCTATACCATATATATTCTGGTTTGTCATGCCAAGATGATTTGAATGATATACAGGGTTAGTCCCCAGGCATCACTAATGCATATAACTTTACTGGACCAAACCAATTTTCACTGGACTTTGCTCAATGTCAGGCGACCATGGGAATTACGAATTATGGGAACTTCGTTTGGGAGACTTCGTAACAGCATCCTGTTACAATCATTTCTTGTTAATCATCAAATCAATTTAAAACAATATTTCATTTAAAAATTCCTGAATTTTTATTTATGAAAATAAAAATATTTTACAAAACATCTAAAAATTTATCAGGTTTTTGAATAAAAAAAGGGTGCGAACGTGTAGGGTGCGAACGGACCTAGGGGGCGAACGTGTGGGGTGCGAACGTGTAGGGTGCGAACGTGTATTGGGCGCGAACGGACCCGATACCGGCCCACATACTGGCATTTATTTCTCCCACAGGCACAGGTGCTTGTTTCATGCGATGGTTATAGAATTGAATGGAAACGGGGAATTTGTAAAAGAGACAACAACCAAACCAAAGAGCAGAAAAACTGCCCAAGGCCACCAATGTGTCTACAACACAGCGAGAAAATCCCACACACAGAGTGGTCCTTCCCCTACACAATAATTCAAAGGTTCCGAATATTTTACCCCTCAGTGGTCTTTTCAATTTATTTTTGAATGAAATCCGCATGACTTAAATGTGGACCACAATGATTGACCCAAGGCTTCCAAAACGGTCATACATTTGTGTACATGTATATTCCGGACATTAGTTGTCAAACAGCTGAAATTTACCTGTTCAGGTGACAGGTAATCTATTTTGAACCGTACATTGATCGGTCTATTCAAAGTTATTTTCTTACATTTCAGCGGTTTGCATCTAATTAATTTAGTCAAAAAGATTTAAATTATCAGAAATACGTTCACAAATATGATTTGATGAAAAAATTAAAAAGGTGAAAATGAAAAATCTTCATAACCACGTTGTTTGAACCAGAGACATGTCTCTGTTTAGTCTCTGTTTGAACTAGTACACGTGTGCGCTGGTGTGAAATTTAATTATACATCCTAATTTCTTCAAAAAATGCTTAAATTGTCATTGATACCTTTATCTCACGTTTATTTTGAATATTTTCTTGAAGAAATAGCGTAGAAGAGCTACGTACACTCATTCATGCTTTGCAAACGTAAACTTAATTTGCGTATCCGTCTCTGGTCCATGTTTTACCATTGTAAAGATAACATCCGGAATTTGATTTAAAAACGAAAGTAAAGTTTTTGACAACGTTATTTTGCACAAATAAAGAGTCTAAGGCAGATATAAGTACGCTGATGTTGCACACTTCGAATGATGCACTGCCAATTTAACAGTTTACGTCAGAACTTCGAATTTGAATCAAAGAAAGTTTAATATCGTTTTTTTTTTTCAATGTCAATCATTGGGATGGCCAACTCGGCAACTGAATACCATAATTGCCTTTTGTTTATTTAGTCTTAAGGGATTAAAATCGGGATAATATATAAAATGTCTGGCTGGCTAAAAATAATTTTGGGAGCCCTGGATTGACCCCAAATTCAGTCAGAGATATAACTCTATAGGGTTATTACAGACAATAACTTGTGTGTGTTATTACAGATACTTTCATGAGTTGTCTACTCTTTATTCCTTAAATTTTCTAAATCTGTAATAACATATGTTTGTTATTTGTAAAATTATTTAACTTATAGTGGGCTCTAGGGAACTCTTGAGACTTTGCGCAGAAACTAAATGCATAGCCTTGATAACTAATTTTTTAATTAAATTAATACATTTTTGATTAACCATGGTAAATCAATGAGATGAGGCTATTAAGGGATAAACTTAGCTGTGATAACAAGGCTTAGTTATTAAAGGAATGTAACTTATCATATAGACACTTGGGAATTACTGAGAAACTTGCGCAGAACCTCATTACATGCTCTGGTCATTATTTCTTACAATAAATTAAAATACATTGTAATTAAGCATGATGTATGTCTGAGCAAATGCTTTGAAGTAATATAGAGAAGCTGTGATGACACCCTTTAGTTATTACAGGCATATTTTTTCTGTAATAACATATATATATAGGTGTACTATGCAAAATTGGCAAACTGTGAACTGTTATATCTTTTAATAGTTAAGTATACATAAGGACAATAGTA